AAAGGTTCAAGAGCCTCTGTTGTCAATTTCGTTGTTTGGTAGTGTTTTCACGGTGTAGTCTAGTGGTAGAGAAACGTTTGAAGATTTTGGCCTAAGTTCAACAACTTTGAATTGGAAATCTATCGTAAGGAGGCGCTTAAGTTTTTTTTTTTTTTTTTGTAAGCGATATATAGTATTTAGTAAAGCCATTTGAACTTATTTGAAATTAAAGTTTCTGAAGAATAAAATTGACCTTTGTGTGGTTTGGATATGGCGTTGAGAAAGACTCTGTATTGTCATACACAGCTCTGTTGTATGTCCCATCTAGTTGTTAAAGGGGTTAAAACACTCTGTATGTATCCCCTTTAGTGTGTCAGTGAAAAACTAGAAATCAACGGCGCTTGGCTGTTCATATTGCACGTTTGGACGAGTAAAGCTATATCTTTTTTTCGCTTCCATCTTATTTGGCGCTTTCTGCTCCAATCAGGTTGGCTAGACTCTGAAACGCTCCCCCTCTTCATGCAAAACAGCTGTGGGAACTTTTATAGATGAAAGCTCAAAACCTCAATCGACTTCCTTTTGTTTTCAAGAAGTCACTTTACGTCAGCCATACTGAAAACAGACAAACATTCAAACGCTTTAAGTTAAAGTGAGCGCTGGATATTAAATTGCTTTCTCAACACCCCTTACACCATATATTCAGAGATCATAATACTATGTATAATGATACTTTCTACACATACGGACAAAGGCACTGATGCGCATTTGAAATTAAAAAGACCTAAAGAGGCTTCCTTTAATGACGTGACATTCCAAAAGACTTACGAAAATGAATTATAATATTCGTCTCCATGCACCCGGAAAAAAAAGCCACGTAGCCATTAATGTGAATGTGATTCTGCAACTCTGATACAAACATCGCTACGTAAATATGCATAAATAGCACCGACAGTTTTTTTTTTATATCTACTTTATATCTAGAAAAGGAAAAAAAACTACATTTTAACCTGAAAATGGTCTATATTATTATACTCCTGGGAGAACATAGGCTACAATTATTAAAACAGGCAGATTATTTGATGACAGATTTTAGAATTACTTTGAAATGAATGGTGCGGGAAGTAATGGATGGATTCCTGTGCAACAGTTCATTTTTAACTGCATCAGATTTATTGGTTCTTTAAATGATAAACAGTTATAATGGACAAATGTGGCAACTCCAGTAACATCTATTTGAGAAAGTATATACAACATACACTTCACTCTAGAGCAGAATATACTGATTAAGAAGGATAAGGTTATTATAGCTTCTAGAAGCTTCATTATAAGACCAAATATTTACACTGAACATGACAATATTAGATGATACTGCTCTTAAATTAGTTAATCAGTGTAATAATTACAGTGACCCTGCTAGTTCCCATGTGTCATCAATCATGTGTCAAGAACAGTATCTTGGAAAAGGACGTTTACTTTACCATTCATGCACAGTGTACTCTGGAATTTCATATTTAGCTTGCCCATAATTTAATTTTCTTGATCCAGCTGGGACAGTCCAGAATTTTTATATACTAGCATATATTTATAGGGCTTATGGAGACCACAAAACAGCAGGCAACATGTAGTTTTTCTTTTAAAATGAGGGATTTTGCAGGGAGAGCAGCAATGATTATCTACTCACTGAAATATAAGAAATCAAATACAGATGAATATATGTGTATATGCTCTAAAGGACAGGACTAAAAAAAAAAACATCTACACCACAACATTGGTGAAACAGAAATTCAAACTTGACAGCCCTGCAGTGAATTTACAAGAATGTATCTGTAGTAGGTACCAAATCACTGTAGTTCAAGCACAAGGGGGAGGGAGCTCTTCTGTGATCTACACCTTTAGACCAGGGGATCCCTTTGTTTATCATCTCATCTAAATGAAATTGTATTAAGAGTGTGCTTATAGTTGTGTGTCATTTAAAATAAAGTTTTGGCAAATGGGCAGTTGACATGAAATACTTCTTGGAAACTGACAGCGTGGCATGGTATGTTCCATATTTTAAACATATTTTGTTAATTCTTTTATAATTATGATGCATGTAGTTTTTGTGAACTCATATTTACTGAGAGGCTACATATTTGTATTTTAAAAATAATTTTAAAAGTCACACACCAGGACCATTAGAAATGAATTAGTATAGGCAAAAATGGTGTAAAACTTGAAATTGTGGCCACTTAGAGGAACTCCCTTATAATTTCTTATCTTTCTTTTTTTTTTTACCTAAAATCTTTATAATACAAATTCTATGAACACTTTGTACTTCTGTGCACAGGTTAATAATTTGTTGAATGTGGTGCCAAAATTCACAAGACAAGTGTTATGAACCAACCCATGAAATTAAGTTCCTATCTGTGTGGCATTGTGTATGACCATAAAAGTGTCATACTTTAATGACTTCAAGGTCAACAAAACCATGACAGGTTCTCTGCCTGAATTAAAAAGTATATGTTGTACTGCATCACAATCCAATTCTAAACAAAGACTTCTGTGTGCCAATAGATTAAAAACTTCTAAGTGAAATTTCTGTCAATGGGGAAACGGCTGAATACCTCAGAAGAATGCAAAGGATTTGTCTGCCTGGTATGTACAAGATTTCCTCCAAGATGGAGGAACAAGATGTCCTCCAAGATTTAGGAAAATGCATTATGGAGCTACTGCATCAAGTAGGATCTGTTTTTTTCTGAATGATCATGAAAGCTTTCCCATGAACAGTTTGCCTCGTACATCTCTTAGAACCTCAATAAATTTGTTCACAGATTAAATCAAGAAAAACATCCCAAAATATCTATTACAAGTGTTGCACAATTTGGTGAAATGTTGGGCACAGTTTCATATTAAATACTGACAGGACTGAACCATTGACAGGTAAAGTTAAATGTTTCAGCGGATTCAATTAATGAGTCTTTGAATTTCTCCATTAGTCAGTATATATTCATGTTTGAAATTAAAAAGAAAGAAGGAGCAGCACTGTCAACGCATCTATCATTGCTCTATCTTGCAGATTTTTTTTTTTCTTGTGATCTATGAGAAACATAACCTGTACAACTTTACATAGTATATCTCCAGAGGCTGCATTTTGATGGTAGCCAATGAAGATAACAAAGATACCACTGTACTCTGCCCCCTTCCTTGTGGATTAGTTGGAGATGAATATTTAAAAAAAAAAATGAAATAATCCCCAGGCAAAAAAACAGAGAAATCAGCCAGATCAAGCTGCTGATGCACCATCACTACAGTCGAGAGTGCAGCGATGATACAGTTGTGTATATGGCGCATGGTGTCAGATTTTGGACACATTGTAATTTCTTGAGTCAATTAAGTAAGTAAATAAATAAACACATACATTTGTTTACAAGTAACAAACAGGTCTAGTATACTTACGCTTAAGGGTCTCACACACGACGCTCTCATATTTGGGGAAATATTATTTCAAAATCCTAATCATATTGATTACTATAAATAAGTAGGACATATCAGACTGCATGCAAAGTTGTTATTTTCATCAACTGCATAAGCAATATGTCAGGGTAAAATACGTTTTGTAAAATGTACAGGTTTGTAAAAATGCCGCATTTTCATGAGACCGGGCTAAAAAATGCCTAGCGACCAAATGACTAATGATCTCATAGCCTTTCGTTTAATATTGATATTTGTTAATTATCTTTGCCTGTAGTTCGTGTGCATTATAGAAAGGCAAGGTGATTATTACTGCGTTATTGTTTAATAGACCCAATTTAACCCTGCGCAGAACAGATGCCTCCTTTTGAGAACACATAGTTTAACATGAAGGTAGTATTTGGCCACTTGATGAAGAGTGATATATGTTACAAACGGGTTCTCTGCTCTGCTGACTAGATAACTGAGTCAGTGTTGCACTGTTGAACTCAGCTGTCTGTCCACGACCCTCTGTTGTTTACGTGTGAATTAATCCAGTGTTTTGTGACGGGCGCCAGTGTTCGGCTACTGCACAGACACTGACAAACAGGACAGATCAGTGAGCTGCGTTCACTTATCGCCACAACAATGTAACATGCGACCTGTCTGCGGCATTTCGAAAGAGAACATTGAGCAAGACACTGATAATTGAGTGAAAACAACAGCCTGTTCTCATAATACAGAGATTTAAAAAACATTTTCCCTTCCAAAGATACATTGATATTTCTAATAGTTTTGTCGAAAGTATTTGCAAGTGATTTAAAAACTACACCTCTCATCCATGCTTTAGTTATTTGATATGTTCTTGGTGTCTTGAACAATATATGAAAAAAGATTAATGAATATAAAGTCATAACCTGATAGATATTATTTTTAAAAATGCAGTGCATTTTAATTAAATCTCGCTGACTGCCAACAAGATGCGGCACTGTATGGTTAGATGTGTAGGCTATTGTCCTGGTCACAATATGACACTTTGGTAACCACAAAAAAAACGGCAGAATTGTACAGATGGGATACGATTACAGCACTTTACTAGAACAAAGATTATTTCCTACATAACATTAAAGTTGATCAACTGCAAGATCTCCAAATTAATAATTTGCATCTCTTAACTAACACCAACAATTATTTTGACACTCCTGTCTGTTTATCGTTGCATTTCTCAGGTAAAATACGCGTCTGCTATATATATGATCTTCTGTGCGCGAAAAGAGGCCAACAGTGACGCTGTGCGCACGAGACTTGGAAGTTCAGCTTCTCTGGGTCCCTCAGACCGACAGATGCGTGTCCTAATGATGTTGACATATTCACACAACAGCGAGCGAAGGAGCGCTGTTTCGCGGCAGCAATAGAGTTCTCAAACACCTTTTTATAAGTCTGAAGTCTTTCCCCTCCACCCGACCTGTTAAAACCACGCCTACAGAGCAACACAATTGGTCCGAAAGCGTCAAAGAGCCAATCAACAGAGGGTTGAATTGGCTGCTCGAAACATGCAACACATCCACACCGCTGAAGCCTATGGAGTTCAGAAGCACTGGGAATATCTCTGTGCTGGACCCTGTTCTCCGCATATCTGCTGAAATGTGTGTGCGCGTGAAAGGACGAGAGAGAAAGTGTGTGTGTGAGCGTGTGAAGGTGTATACCTCCAACAAGTAAAGACAGAGGAATTATTCCGAGGCAACGAAATATTTCAACACATCTCTTTGGCAGGACTCGGGACGATCTCATTATTACCGGAATGTCTATTTTAACGAAATCCAAAGGAAACCGACATACGCCGCAAGCAGACATACAGTGACTCGGTCGACTTTAATTTCATTGTTTTATTTTTATTTTTATTTTCTCGATTTCATAGTGCACTGACAAAAGACAAGCGGCACCCGCGAAGATTAATGGATAGCCGTTTCTCGCTTTCTCTTTTAGATACTTTGTTGGAATCCAGCTAGAGAAACAATTAAGAGACTCACACACCGAGGCGTCGCAGGGACGCTGGACTTGGTGAAGGACTTCTCCGGCGCAGACATTTAGCTGATTTTACCACCAGACGCTAGATTTAAGGGACACCGCATCTACTATCTGGACTTGAATGAGCTTCCCGATGAGAGATCCAGTTCTTCAAGGATCCAGTATGGCATATCACCCGTTTTTACCTCACCGGGGTCCGGAATTTGCCATGAGCGCAATGCTGGGTCACCAGCCGCCCTTCTTCCCGGCCCTGGCGCTGCCACCTAACGGCTCCCTGTCTCTGCCCGGGGTGCTGGGCAAACCAATAATGGAGCAGCTGATGGGCGCAGCAGAGACCGGCCTTCACTTCTCCTCTCTGGCACACCAAGCCGCCACCGCGCATCTCCGGCCTCTCAAGACACTTGAGCCCGAGGAGGAGGTTGAAGACGACCCCAAAGTTCACCTTGAAGCCAAGGAACTCTGGGAGCTTTTTCACAAGCGCGGCACAGAAATGGTTATCACCAAATCTGGAAGGTAAACTGGAATAATTAAATCAGCTGTGCTTCGAAATTAATTAAGTGAAAACGAATCCGAGATTATAATTGTTATCAAACTGGAATTCTGATTGATTTATTGATCTGAGTGACTCACAGATTTCTTTAGAGGAGCACATATACGCAAAATATCTGGACAGGCGTATTCCTTTTTATCGTTTATTCTGTTTTTGTTTGAGCAAATGTGTTTTGAACAACGTATGAAATACAACCCAACTTGAACTATGCCAGCAATGTCTGAATCTAAATCAGTCGATGTTAAAATATAATAATAATAATAATAATCGTTTTATTTTAGTGCAGATGCAAACATCTGTATTACCAAGTGTTATACTTAATATCACAAATAAATGTAGACACTTGCACAATTCATTTTGCACCGAAGCTGATTTTAAACAGTGAAATACACAGATTTCATTATTATGAAACTACATTCAGTGGTGTCAAATAAGTAAGGTTCGCTTTATAACTTTTGCCGTTCTGCAGTAAGTTTTGCCGTAAAGTTAAGTTAAACAGTTCAGCATTGTTTATTGTTGCGCTGCGTTTAGATTTGGGGGTATTTCACAAGTTGTTGCTGATGGCTCGGCCTAGCCCTTCATCTCCACACAACAGGTTCGAATGATTGGATGTCTGCATTTAATATTTCTCTAGAATGCAAAATCCAGTCGTCCAGTAAAATAATAGTTTAGATCCATGTTGTTTGTACTGCGATAAAACACTGCTAATTCATCTCTGATCTTCTCTGCAGGCGAATGTTCCCTCCGTTTAAAGTCAGATGCACGGGCTTGGACAAAAAGGCCAAATATATTCTGTTGATGGATATTGTTGCGGCTGATGACTGCAGGTATAAATTTCACAACTCTCGCTGGATGGTGGCAGGAAAGGCTGACCCCGAAATGCCAAAACGGATGTACATTCACCCCGACAGTCCGGCCACTGGCGAACAATGGATGTCTAAAATCGTCAATTTTCACAAACTTAAACTGACAAATAACATCTCCGACAAGCATGGCTTTGTAAGTGCCAGTCAGCTACGTCTTTTAAATGTGTTATTGTTAGTATTATTATTATTATTATTATTATTATTATTATTATTATGGTCGCTTAAATACGTGTGTTCAGTGCTTGCATGCATCTATATGTATTTATCGTTACAAAATTTCTAAAGAATTTCTAAAGAAAATTTCTAACAAGTTTTATTTTATTTTATATTATTTATTTTTTTGTACTTACATGATTGAATTTGAATTTAATTTAAACTGTTCGTGCACACAAATACTGTCCGAGCAGGGTAAAAAAAATGCAGGCTACGTACGACTTGTAAGTGAACAAAATGTATGTAGAAAGTGTGACCAATAAATATGATTTTTTTTTTTACTCATTTTAAAAATGTTACTGAAATTAACAATATTTTATAAAACTTCGGCCTTATTTGTGTTTCAGACCATACTAAACTCCATGCACAAATACCAGCCAAGATTTCACATTGTGAGAGCCAACGACATACTGAAACTCCCATATAGCACGTTCAGGACCTACGTGTTCCCTGAGACAGATTTCATTGGTGTCACTGCCTACCAGAACGATAAGGTTGGTTATAACTTTGTGTGTTGAATCTGATTGAACTGTTAACCTGCCATACTGCTAAATACTTTGCACTAAATATTTAATAATATAACCCATAGCCTTACAGAACAAGTAATGTTTGGTGATTTCAGTACTTTTGTCTTGAACAAAGTTATTATGTAGTGCATTTCCATAATATACTTATTCGTAGATGTATCACTGGGGCCTACATCACATGCACTGCCTCATTCTGTCACTTTCTCCAATTTGACACACACACACACACACACACCGGTTTCCATGAACAAACTGTTGAAGATCTTCTGAAGTTTTAACTAAATTAAATGAAAGATAAATTGTGTGTGTGTGTGTGTGTGTGTGTGTGTGTGTGTGAAAGATTGAGAGGAGCGAGGGAGGAAGTTAGGGAAGACTGGCCATAGAGGGAGGGACTGGAGAAAAGAAAAAGAGACTCAAAAATTGTATGTGTGTGTTAATTTATTGGAAAACAGCTGGAATGTAACGTAACCTTTAACACTACAGGAACATACTGTTACATCACTAAATGCTTATAGGATGACAGGGTGAATTCATGTTGAGAGGTTGTAGATATAAAAAGGTTCCCAATATTTATGATCTGGAAATGCCCCCATGTTTCCTACAAATACCAAAGTTTGAGACAAGTCACTGCAAGCGTAATATGGGTATCTTAATACAGAACAAGCATATAGGCCAGCCCATTAAACTATAAACTATAAAACATAATTGTAGAGAGTCACATACAGCTTTAGTGCGTTTTGAATATGATTCAATTGGCTGCAAATAATTTGTCACGTGCAAAAAAAAAATCTGATATTCAAAGAATTGGTTAATGTAACTGAAACATATTATAGTTGTCTTTACTAATGTTATATTGTTTGCATGTTATTACATTTCAGATTACACAGCTGAAAATTGATCACAATCCTTTTGCAAAAGGATTTCGTGACACTGGAAATGGGAGACGCGAAAAAAGGTACGACTAAACGAACTGCTTATTTTACCCTGTAGCTACAATAGCATTCCATTGCATTCTCAAATTCAGGACACTGATGGTTATTATAGCAGCAAGTGTCCATGCATTTTACATGAATTCATTTTAATCGTAAAAAAGTCAAATAAATTAGAAACGCATGAGCAATTTCTGTCTTCAACAACTATTTAATACAGAAAACAGCTAGCTCTGCAATCGATGCGTTCGTATGAGGAGCAGCAGAAAAAAGAAAACGGGACGTCAGACGATTCCTCAGGCGAACAAGCGTCCTTCAAATGTTTTCGCCAGGCTTCGTCTCCTGCGGTCTCAACTGTTGGACAGAATAACTTAAAAGGTATGAGAGTCAGATAAGCCATGTGTCCATATGATAAATATGGTAAATATTACTTTCGGGTAAAAAGCAACCTTTTTCTTACGATTGTCCAAAGAAATGACTGCAATAACAATCGAATCGCCCAAATATTTCTCAGGATAATAATACAAATTATTTGTGAAGGACTGCTAATTTGAGAGCAGCATTATCTAATTTGTTTTCAAAAAAGAATTTCAAGACTAATCAAGACACTATACATTCAAATCTGTTGCAGCAAAACCCCAGAATTTTTTTATTTGTAGTTATTTGTATAGTATTTGTATTTATTTCATGTGCTTCCCTGTTTTTAAACGATATGCATGTAGTGCCCTGCTGTCTGTATTTATAAAAAGTGAAACGTGTCTAATATAAACTTTCTGTTGGATCCCATTGATTAAACAGTAAATGGACTCAGAACGTTCCTGAACTCTTTCGCTTCACAATATTTTTTCTTATAGATTTTTGCGACAGTGATGAAGATAGCGATGACGAAGACAAAGATGGAAACGTGAAAGAGGGGCCAGACTCGAGCAAAATTTCCACTACGACTGAGGACTCCAAGGATCACGATGCGAGTTTAAGCAAAAGTCTGTTTGGAGAAAGTGACTCTGTCGGTCGGAGAACTGAAAAAGTACGAGCGGACTCACGGCAGAGTCCCATCACGCTCATCTCTAGCACCACTAGGTCCGGTGAGGAACTCAAGAGTCCGGGCCGGGAACAGGCCAAAACAGACGACTGCCGGACAGTGAGCAAAGAAAATTACATGCCATTGACTGTCCAAACAGATGGCGCTGCGCACTTAAATCAAAACCACTTGCACAATTTTGGATTTCCGCCGGGTTTGGCCGGGCAGCAGTTTTTCAATCACTTGGGTGGTGCCCATCCGTTTCTCTTACACCCCAGTCAGTTCAATATGGGAGGCGCTTTCTCAAACATGGCCGCAGGGTTGGGCCCCATACTGGCAGCAGTTTCCTCCGGAGGGGTCAGTTCAATGGACACGAGCAGCATGCCATCACCCTCGCAAAGCCTGACGGCGGCACCGCTGCCCTTCCACCTACAGCAGCATGTCCTGGCGTCGCAGGTAAGCCTGTTAATGAGGATTAGCAGTGAAGGCCATGTCATCAATGCTTTAGCCCTAACGCTTTATGAACGCTGCTTATGAACGCTCTTAAGTATTTTAGTGACTTTGTGGCTACATTTAAGTAGCCTCTGGGGGAAAAAAAAACGAGGTGTGCCATAGGCTATCTTGCAGCGTTTAATGGTCTTTGTTGCAGAGTCCATAAATTGTCAGCAAATATAGAACAACTGACAACTGTTGCTCGAGATTAGCAATAAAGCTGTTCTTGATGGATGTGTGCAGACAGTAGGCCTAATGTCGCAATTAATTTGTAAAAACAAGAAAGCTGTTAATGACGATTTTTGCAAGT